CCTCCTCTTCTTCTTCTTCTTCTTTTTCTTCTTCTTCTTCTTCTTCTTCTTCTTCTTCTTCTTCTGTTTTGTTTTGTTTTGAGACAGGGTTTCTCTGTGTGGTCCTGGCTGTCCTGGAATTCACTCTAGACCAGGCTGATCTTGAACTCAGAAATCTGCCTGCCTCTGCCTCCCAAGTGCTGGGATTAAAGGCATGTGCCACCACTGCCCGGCCTTTAGCCAGACTTCTTACACATCAAGACCACCTGCCCCAGCTGGCATGCCCACAGTGGGCTGGATTCCCAGACATCAATCACTAATCAGGAGAACTCCAACTGTCCAATCTGGTGACATTTTCTCAGTTGATGTTCTTTTTTCTCAAAGGACTCTAGTTTGTGTCAAGTTGACAAAACACAAACAAAATAAACTAACAAACAAACCTAAGCAGGTAATGGAATGGAATCCTAAGCATGGTAATGAAATTCTGGTGAGGATGATTTGGGGAGAAAGGGAACCAGGCAGAGGGGGAGCTGGTGTACACCGGGGGAAAACATGGGTGGGGCGGAATGAAGTAGAACAGAGTCTAGTGACACATGCATGTGAAGATGCCATAGGAAACCAGTTATGTTGACTGTTAGCTACACAGGCAGGCAGCCAGTGCTCTTAACCACTGAGCCATCTCCGCAGCCTCTCAGTTGATAGAAATGTAATTTTAAAAAGAGAAACAAAACAAAACTAGCCTACTATCCTTCGTGCAGTTTTGCCACTTGACCACAGTTTTGAAAGGGAAGAAAAAGACTGGCAGAGTCGGAGAGAAGTGGGATGCTCAAAACAAAGGGGAAATGGATAAGGTTTAGAGCTTCCTCGAGTGAGGCCCTGGGTTCTATCCCCAGCACCACAAAAGCAAAGCAAAACAAAAACTCAATTGCTTGTCCTAAAATTATATAGGTGTAATCTTTGCATCGGATATTTTATTTACATTTCAGATGTTATCCTCTTTCCCCACTCCCCCCCACAGAAACCCCCTATCCCATCTCCCCTCCTGCCTCTATGAGGATGTGCCCCCTAACCACCTACCCACTCCCACCTCTCCACCCTCGAATTCCCCCACACTGGGGCATCCAACCTTCACAGGACCAAGGACCTCCTCTCCCACCTATGCCCGATAAGGCCAACCTCCCCTACATATACAGCTGGAGCCATAGGTCCCTCCCTATGTGCTCCCAGGCTGGTGGTTTAGATCCTGGGAGCTCTGATTTGTTGGTATTGTTGCTCTCCCCATATGGCCACAAACCCCTTCAGCTCCTTCAGTCTTCTCTCTAACTCTTCCATTGGGAACCCTGTGATCAGTTCAATGGCATCCGCCTGTGTATATTTCAGGCTCTGTCTCTAAGGAGACAGCTATATCAGGCTCCTGTCAGCATGCATTTCCTGGCATCCACATCAGCGTCTGCCTTTGGTGACTGCACATGGGATGGCTATCCAGGTGGAACAGTCTCTAGACAGCCCCTCCTTCAGTTTCTGTCCCACACTTTGTCTCCATATTTGCTCCCATGAGTATTTTGTTACTCCTTCTAAGAAGGACCGAACACCCACACTTTGTTCTTCCTTCTTCATGAGCTTCATGTGGTCTATGAGTTGTATCTTGGGTATTTCGAAGTTTTGGGCTAATATCCACTTATCAGTGAGTGCATACCATGTGTGTTCTTTTGTGATTGGGTTACCTCACTCAGGATGATATTTTCTAGTTCCATCCATTTACTTATGACTTTCTCGAATTCATTGTGTTTGTTGTTGTTGTTTTGTTTTGTTTTTGGTTTTTCAAGACAGGGTTTCTCTGTGTAGCCCTGGCTGTCCTGGAACTCACTCTTCAGACCAGGCTGGCCTCGAACTCAGAAATCCGCCTGCCTTTGCCTCCCAAGTGCTAGGATTAAAGGCGTGCGCCACCACTGCCCGGCTCCCATTTGTCAATTCTTGATCTTAGGACATAAGCCATTGGTGTTTTGTTCAGGAACTTTTACCCTATGTCCAAGTCTTCGAGGCTCTTCCCCACTTTCTCTTCTACTAGTTTCAGTGTATTTGGTTTTATGTGAAGGTCCTTTATCCACTTGGACTTGAGCTTTGTACAAGGAGATAAGAATGGATCAATTCGAATTCTTCTACATGTTGTCCTCCAGTTGATCCAGCACCATTTGTTGAAAATGCTGTCCTTTTTCCACTGGATGGTTTTAGCTCCTTTGTCAAAAATCAAGTTACCATAGGTGTGTGGGTTCATTTCTGGGTCTTCAATTCTATTCTATTGATCTTCCTGCCTGTCTCTGTACCAATACCATGCAGTTTTTATCACTATTGCTCTGTAGTACAGCTTGAGGTCAGGGATGGTGATTCCCCAAGAAGTTCTTTTATTGTTGTGTATAGTTTTTGCTATCCTGGTTTTTTGTTATTCCAAATGAATTTGTTAATTGCTTTTTCTAGCTCTATGAAGAATTGAGTTGGAATTTTGATGGGGATTGGATTGAATCTGTAGATTGTTTTCAGCAAGATGGCAATTTTTACTATATTAATCCTGCCAATTTATGAGCATGGGAGATTTTCCATCTTCTGAGATCTTCTTCAATTTCTTTCTTCAGAAACTTGAAGTTCTTACACAGATCTTTCACTTGCTTGGTTAGATTCACTTCAAGGTATTTTATATTATTGGTGACTATTGTGAAGGGTGTCCTTTCCCTAATTTCTTTCTCAGCCTGCTTATCCTTTGAGTAGAGGAAGGTTACTGATTTGTTTGAATTAATTTTATATCCAGCCACTTTGCTGAAGTTGTTTATCAGGTTTAGGAGTTCTCTGGTGGAAGTTTGGGGGTCACTTAAGTATACTATCATATCATCTGCAAATAGTGATATTTTGACTTCTTCCTTTCTTATTTGTATCCCTTTGCTTCCTTTTGTTGTCTAATTGCTCTGGCTAGGACTTCCAATACTATGTTGAATAGGTAGGGAGAGAGTGGGCAGGCTTGTCTAGTCCTTGATCTTAGTGGGATTGCTTCAAGTTTCTCTCCATTTAGTTTGATGTTGGCTACTGGCTTGCTGTATATTGCTTTTACTATGTTTAAGTATGGGCCTTGAATTCCTGATCTTTCCAGGACTTTTACCATGAAGGGATGTTGAATTTTGTCAAATGCTTCCTCAGCATCTAGTGAGATGATCATGTGGTTTTTTTCTTTGAGTTTGTTTATATAGTGGATTACATTGATGGATTTCCGTATATTGAACCATCCCTGCATTCCTGGAATAAAGCCTACTTGATCATGACGGATGATTGTTTTGATGTGTTCTTGGACTCGGATTTTGAGAATTTTATTGAGTAATTTTGCATCAATGTTCATAAGGGAGATTGGTCTGAAGTTCTCTTTCTTTGTTGTGTCTTTGTGTGGTTTAGAATCTCCAAAATATAAAACACTACAGACAGCAGCAGGTCTGGCAGATGTGGTCCTTATATTTCTCTTGATGTTTGAGCCAAAGACTGATGGAGGGTTTAATCAGTATTACATTGTATAAGGTTCCTCAACACATTCACTCACTGTGTTAAACATCTTCCTGTGACTTCCTGTGACATAAATAACTTGCCTTCATTGTAGCTGAGTAGCTTTGAGGTGTTTGCAGTTTCCTTGTTCAGTAAGGGGACTGAGGCCAGGGTCTTGTGCATGGGAGCAAATGCTCTGTCACTGAGTCACTTTCCATAGACGGGACACATGGTTAAGAATCTGTGTTGTGGAATTCGACTACCTGTGTCTGAGTCTTGGTTTTCCCACTCATTGGCTTTATGATTTTGAATAAATGAACATCTCTGTGCCTATTTTGTCACCTGTAGAATGGGTATAACAGCCAGAGCCCTGAGACTGCTTAACAGATGGATCACCCTAGTCATAAACGTGAATATATCAGTTGCTTCCATATTCTTTTCTTCCAAGGTACATTGGTAACTTGTTTCTTTCTGAGGTTATGATAAACTCTCTATAAGTTTATCTATAAAACTGGAATATTTGTATCCTAAGATGGCCTTTGTTGGAATTAAATGAGATCAGCACATCTAAAGGGCTTGATATATGCCTGGTACATACTTAACCTGTCAGCATTTGTAGTGCATCTGATTGGCTAGATCTATAGTGTGTTAAAGATCTTACCCTTACTTACCATGCTGATTGGTGTTGTAGAAACGGGTCACCCAGGATCAGAGGGCAAGTCTGGGATACCCTAGATGCCAGGTAGCTGTGCCAGGGACAGAGGAGGTGCTTCTAGTGTTAGTCACTGCAGTCCCTCCCCCACCATCCTATTGGTCTCTTGGGGGTGATCTAGCTGCTGCTCAGAATATTGCAAAGAGGCTCCAAGCTGTATGTAATTCCATCAGCGTGTTGGTGTGTGTACATGTGCAAATGAGTATGTGCACACACAGTGGGGATGGACTATGTTGTAAAGCTGTGTCTAGCTGGATATTGGCCCGTGCTGTTTTAAATGAGATTGTCCCCCATAGTCTCGGGCATTTGAATGCTTGGTTCCTAGTTGGTGGTACTATTTGGAGAGGCAAAGGTAATGTAGCCTTGCTGGAGGAAGTATATCACTGGGGGGGGGGGGGTGTTTGAGAAAAAAAAAACTTCTCTCTGCTTCATGCTAGTGGTTAAGGGTGTGAGTTCTCAGCTTCCTGCTCCTACCTTCATGCCACCATGCTTCTCTGTCATGATGGACTCCTATCTCTTCGGAACTATAAGTCAGAATAAACCCTTCCTTCTATAAGCCACCTTGCTCATGGCATTTCATTACAGCAAAAGAAATGGATTTTCTTTCCCCTAGGAAGGAAAACATTTTAGACTAGGAAGTTGTTTGTGATGGACGTGAAAAGGCCGTGTAGATTTCTTACTTTTAAGATGGCCCATCTCATAGACACACGGGATGTGCTTGAATTTCTTGTGAGGTGGAGGGTATGAGCAAGGACTTGGGATGGGAATGCAAAAAACTCACTTGGTTAGTGAGTTTTCTGTGGCAGGAAAGAACGTTAGTTAGAGTGAGACCCTAACTAGCCCCTGTCTACTCCGTGACCTTGTTTAGGGCTGGAATATGTGCCAGGACTGAAAGAGAGGCAGGAATCATGTCTTATCCATAGTGATTTTGACAACTGATTGTGGAAATGACTTAAGAAGGTTCTGGAAAATTCTTTGCGTATGAACTATCCCAGGAACTCAAAGCAAAATGGGTTACTATTAAAAAGGAGTTGTGACCCATTCTTAGGTCAACACACTGCAGGCCATTAGACTGAGGCAAGTTTGAGACGCTACATAGTATTTCACAATATCTTCCAAGTTGGCACCATGTATCTTTTGGTGTGTGTGTGTGTGTCTGTGTGTGTGGTATGTGGTGTGTGTGTGTGTTAGTATGTGTATGTGTGGTGTGTGATGTGTTAGTGTGTATGTGTGTGTGTATAATTTATGAGGGGAGGCATGTTGAAGGAGGTAGATGACAACTTCATGGGTTCTCTTCTTCCACCTTTACACGGTTCCAAGGATAGAATTCAGGTTGTCTTTTAGTTTACTTCCTGTTGCTTTGATAGACACCATGACCACAAATTACTTGGAGAGGAAATGGTTTATTTAGCCTCACAGGTCACTGTACATTATTGAGAGGAAGTTAAAGCAGGAACTGAAGCAGAGGCTGTGGAGGGGATCTGCTCCTCATAGCTTGCTTAGTTGCTCCAATATAAAACCTGGGACAACCTGCCTAGGAACAGAACCACCCACAGTGGACTATGACTCCCCCTTCAATCACTATTCAAGAAAATGGCCCACAGGCCAATCTCTGGAGGCAACAGGTGACTCTAGTTTTTCAAGTCGACAGAACCTAACCAGCACAGGAAGCCAAGTTCGGTGACAAGCACCCTTACTCACTGGGCCATCTCAGAAGTCCTCATTTCTGTTTTTCTTCCAGTACCTGGCAATTTGATCAGTGGCACTAATGCTTCTAGTGCTGTCACCACAACTGCAGTGACAACAGGCTTGTCTGTTCCCTTCTCTGTGGCCCCCGGAGCAGGTCTCTGTAATTGCTTTCTATGCAGTAGCCCCCACTCCTACAGAGCTCCCCTGCTCTGCCTCATGTCTTTCTTGTCATGTTTCTTCTCCAGATTTGGAACCTGGCTTCAAACAAACTCACATTTTTAAACTCCTATAAAATGAAGATGTCAGTCATTCTGGGAATCGTTCATATGATTTTTGGTGTTATTCTCAGCGTCTTCAATCACATGTGAGTTTCTTCTTTAAAAAATATTTTAAATTACATGTATGTGTGTGTGTGTGTATGTGTGTGTGTGTGTTTGAGTGTGGGTATGGGCATGTGAGTACATGCTCACGGACCCCCCGAAGCTGGATTCCCTGGTGAGCGTGAGCTGCCTAGCACAGTATGAGGAACCAAACTTGGGTCCTTTATAAGAACACAAGGACTGATGAGCCATCTTCTACCTACGTGTGGATTCTTTATTCACCCTCTGCTTGCTCATCTAATGGCACTGATGAGGAAGAGAGAAAGAGCTACCAGCAAGTCTTTGTGTGGCAGGTAGCTCCCTGTGGGTCTTGGCTTGAGCTGAGTTGAGATGGGCTGGTTGGCCAGAATCAGGAGCAGCTTTGTTTCTGCTATGCAGTCTCTCAAAGTAAATGTATGCTTTTCACCTGGAAAATATTTTAGGGTTCAGCAAGGGCCTGGGGAGCTTACAGCACCTCATGTTCCTCCTACCTGAAAGGAAAGGTTGATATAGTATCCAGCTCATTTTCCACCCAAAGGGTCAGGGAGGAATTGTATGAATTCTGGCCAAGGTGCTACAACCCTGGATCCTTCTCCCAGCTGATGGCAGCCCCTCCCTCCTCTCTCCCTCCCTCTCCCCTCTCTCTTTCTCTCTCTCTCACCTGTTCATGTCTGCACTCTGTTCCTTTCTCTCTCCCTCTCTCTCTCTCTCTCTCTCTCTCTCTCTCACACACACACACACACACACAACTGTTCATGTCTGCACTCTGTACCTTTCCTTCTTTTCAGTATCCATCACTTGAAAGCTTCTAAAACTTAGTGATGCTAAAAGTGTTTGGCCAGCATCACACATACTTACTCAGTGTGCCTTGAACATGGCAGCTGACGGCAGGTACCACATAAATCCCACTTGCTACCTAGGAGTAAGCGGGGCATTGGCCCACAGATGTGATGGAGAGCTTGAATCAGTCAGTTTAAGTCTCAGCTTGAGCTCCCAGTGAATATGATCATAGACTCAGTGCCTGACAGCGTGAGGTTATCATGTTAAACAAAATACAATGGGGGGTGGAGCTCAGTTGGTACAGTATCTGCCTGGTGTGCATAAAGCCCTAGGTTCAGTCTCCAACACTACAAAATGGAATTGCACATGCACACCTGTAATTCTAGCTCTTGGGTGGAGGCAGGAAAACCAGAAATTCAAGGTTTAGCTACATAGCAAATTTAAGGCCAGCCTGGGCTATGGGAGATCCTGTCTTTTTTTTTTTTTTAAGGAGGAAGTAAGGAAGGAGAGAGAAAGGAAGAGAACAGGGATACATGACAAGAATGGGCTAGGTTACAGGAAAATGAACAACTCCGGGCTCAATGACTTAAGACCATGAATCGTAGCAGCAGGGCCTACATGGATTCCACATCTGTCATCCTTACAAGGGGACTTAGAGGACAGGTGCCCGCTGCCTGGAGCCCTGCAGGTGCCGTGCCAGAGTAAAGGTAGAGAGTTACTCAAGAGATTTAAAGCTTCAGTCCAAAGTGGGAGGTGCCATTTCTGGTCCCATTTTGTTGGCAAGATTCAGTTGCAGGGCAATTGTAAGTCAAGGGGCCATAGACGTAGTTCACAAGGATGCTGTGCCCTGAGGGACGTGCTGAAACTAAAGATCTGTGGGGAAGGGCTTTCCAGCTGGATGGTCATTGGCATCCTTATACATCAGAGATTTTTCTATCTCCTCTTAGCCTGGTAGGGCTCTGTCTTACAGCAAAAGGTTCTGCACTTTCTATTACTCTACCTTGGCATTGTCTCTTGAGAGAATTTACAGAATTTCAGGATCATAAAATACCCTCCTTTTTTCTTTTCTTGAGGTATTAGGAATTGCACATAGGACCTCACACAGACTGGATGTCTTGGGCACTGTTCTATTGCTGTGAAGAGACACTGGCCATGGCAACTTTTGTGACAGAAGGTGTTTAACTTGAGGCTTCCTTAGAGTTTCAGAGGGTTAGTCCGTTAGCAACGTGACAGGAAGTGTGGCAGCAGGCCGGTAGGCATGTAGCAGGAGCAGTAGCTGAGAGCGTTACACAGGCAGAGAGGGAGAGAGACAGAGACAGAGAGACAGACAGAGACAGAAAAAGAAGCAAAGCCATCTAATGACACACCTCCTCCAACAAGGCCACACCTTCTAATTCTTCTCAAACAGTCCACCAACTGGAGACTAAGTATGTAAATATGTGAACCCATGGGGGCCATGCTCATTCAAACAACCACACTAGGCAAGTGTTCTACTCCTAAGCACTGTGGGGGCAGTGCCAGAAAATGAAGTCCTGGAACTGAAGTTAGTCCACCTGATGTGACTGCTGGGAATCCAGCTTGGGTCCTCTGGAAGAGCAGCAAGTAGTCTTGATCACCGAGCCACCTTTCCAGCCTCATATTAGAATCATTCTTAGTTTCCAGGCTCCGTCTAGCCCACAGGCTGTAGGTTGGGAGCCCCCCTGTCTTAGAACATGCGTAGGAGAAAAGCTCCCAAATGTCTTGTATACACACACACACACACACACACACATACACACACACACACACACACACACACACACACACACACGTTTGTTTGCCGGGGGAATACAGCTGTTTGCCAGCAGGCGCTCAAAAAGGAAATGAGCACTGTATGCTCTAGGGGGCGCACTTAAGCTTAAGCGCCGACGTTGTGTTAACCTTCTGTCTCATCTGTGTTTTCCATCCCTAGCTACTTCAGAAAAACCTTCAACATCATTCTGCAGTTCATCCCCGAGATGATTTTTATGCTGAGCCTGTTTGGATACCTGGTTTTCATGATCATTTTCAAGTGGTGTCGATATGATGCCCACACCTCCCGGAAGGCACCCAGCATCCTCATCCACTTCATCGGCATGTTTCTGTTCGACTACGATGACTCCTCCAATGCACCCCTGTACGGCCATCAGGTAGCTTTGCTTTGAAAACACCTCCTCAGATCCACTAAATTCTGTAAACTCTCTCTCACGGTCGGAGTACTGCAGAGAGTCGTTCCTTGCAAGATTGAGCCATCCCTAGCAAGGTTCTCCGGGAAGAACTTTGTGTTCTCATTAAATAAGGGGACTGGCACAACTTTGTCGCTGTGCCAGTCTTTCTGCAGGGGTAATACACAGGGGACATTATTGTTAAGGAGTTGAAAACTGGCTAGGAAAAGAGGAAAAAATAATCCTTCTAATGGATTGCCTTGAATTGTAAAGTGTTCCAGTTTAAGTTTTAAAGATTTAAAAATCTTGGTCTGGCAAGATAGCTCAGCAGCAGGTAAGTGCTCGCTGCCTTCCTGGTGACTAAGTTCAGTTCCTCAGACCCAAATGGTGGAAGGATCGAACCAACTCCTACAAGCTGTCCTCTGATCTCCACATGCATGCAAAAGAAATGAATAAGTAAATGTAAAACAAACAAACAAACAAATAAACAAACAAAGGACTTTAAAGATCTTGCTTGGGAGGCCGAGGCAGATGGATCTCTCTAAGTGTGAGGTCTTATATCGAGAATGTTCCAGGACAGCCAGGGCTACACAGTGAAACTCTGTCTATATATAAACAAACAAACAAACATAATCTTTCGTTAAAAAAGCAAACTTTAGCTAAGGTTCACATGAAAGAAAATAGAAATAAAACCAAAAGCAGAAGTTCCTCTGTTTCCACAGACAGCAGGTTTCTGGAAGACTGTGGGCCAGGCTCACGCTATCCCATAATTCCCAAAGTCAGCTGGAGCTCACCCCCATTTTCTGTTCTTCCATGGATGTGTGTTTCAACAGTTGAATTTTACTCTTACTCTGATCTCTTTCTTATTTTCTTCAGCCTCTTTAGCAGCTGCCCCTGGAGATCTACAGGGGATTATTCTAGGACACAGAAAACACCTGTAGCTAGATCCTCAGAGCCACAGATGCTCAAATCTCCTGTGTAAAATGGTACAGTATTGTGTAGAGCCCACATAATCTCCCATAGTCCACTACTCACCCCCGAGACAGGGTTTCTTTCTATAACAACCCTGGCTGTTCTGGAACTCATTCTTAGAACAGGCTGGCTTCAAACTCACTGAGATCCACCTTCCTCTGCCTCCCAAGTGCTGGGACTAAAGGTGTACTGTGTAGAGCTCTCTCCCTACATTCTCGGAATCACTTTGGCATCCAGTGCAATGTAAATACTATGTAAATCGCTGGGACACCATTTTCTAGGGGGAAATAATGACTAGAAAAAGGTCTTGTATTCAGTTCAGTACAGAGAGTTTTGTTTTGTTAGTATTTTTGTTTGGCCGGATATGCAGATGTGGAACTTGCAGAGATGGACAGTTGACTATAACTTACTATTTTCAGCGGGTTTAAATGCTTATTTGTTAGATATCTAAATAAGTGTTTAGGTGGGCATACAAATCACAGGTTTTGTCATGGCACCATCACACATACGTGTCGCCATACTTCGTCTCATTTGCTCTCCTCCCTCCCTGCTCCCAGTTCAGCATGTTCCTTCTTCCCATAAAATGTACTTTATCTTGAAATAATAGAAATACTCCCTTGGGACTGGGTGTAAAAAGAACTCAATGAATCATCCGTTTACTCTGGCCTCACCCAGAGATGAGCCAGCTAATGCAGGTAGAGGGCAGCTTTGTGTGAGTGGAAGACACCCTCTATGCTGACTCCTGGACCAAATTCCGTGGCTAGGATCACACGGTGGCTCTTCCATGGAAACCGGGACCTGCACGCATTAAATATTCTAGCTTACTCTGAGCCTTTTCCCTGGCTCCTTGCTGTGTTTCCTTTTCTCCAGAGGCATCAGGCAAGAAGAAAACCTGCCTCCTGACAAGGCTTTTGTAAGAGATAATAATCAGAGAAGAAACCTACCTCAGAGAGCCCTTTTGTGTCTGACTTGTTCAACACACAAGGCAACCTTAGCCGGCCCCAGAGTGCTGGCACAAGGGGAGAGTGTGTCTTAAAGGGTCGTTTATCCCATGCTGGCCATCAGAGTGAACGTTTCTTTGGATTTCCCAAACAAACCTTTTTTTTTTTTTTGTAGATACTGGTCTTAGAGTAACCAAGTAACAAATCCTTTCTTGTAGGATTTGGCCTTAGAGTAACCAAGTGTTTCCAGTGTTAACTACTTGTAGAGAGGCCAGGGGTTCACTTAGTTTGGAAGAGGCACCAGGCATTGCAGCCAGTGGCTTCCCAACTTCTTGTTCTAGTCAAAACCATTACAGGACATTGGTTGCCTTCCCCAAGGCCACCTAGAAAGATTAATTATGTTGACACAGTTTGGGATTTCTATAACCTCAGTCTGGGGTCACAAGGTTGGAACAAATGGTAATCACCAAAGTCTCCACTCAGCTTTGCTCTGTCTGTCTTTGTATATACACCCTTGCCAGGTCTAGGCATGGGAGGTCTGGTTAAAAAAAATGGACAAACGGCAGTGAGACAGCTTTATGTGCAGGGGCTTCATTGGGTAAGAACAGGGTGAGGACACGTGGCTCCTCCCTCTTTTGAACAAGGAAAATGGAGGGTAAGAGACTGAGCAGATACGGATACAATGTTTCCACTGGGTAGACTATGTTGCCAGCAGTGCCATAACAGGAACCTTGAGCTGGCAAGAGCAGCTGAGGAAACTGGAAGGCTCACCTGCTGTATTTCTTTAGCTCTGGAGCCGTTTTCTGTCCCTGTCCTAGTCGAGACATCTCCTCTTTCCACAATGGCAGCTGAATCGCTCCTTAGAACTGGGTGTCCTGTATGAGGAATGTGTAAAAACAACCAAAGTGGGGGAGGGGCCTGGAAGGAAATACGAAGCTGGGATTCCTCTTGGGCCTTAGCAGTGGTCAAAGGGGGGAACCATGAGAAACTGGGCTCTGAGTGCTTGGCAGACATCCCAACCCACGAGGGGCCGTGTAGAGGGTGTGGGGGGAACTCTTAGTTTCCTTTTGAAGGGCGAGGGGGAGGGAAGGAGGATGAGAGAGCTCAAATTATCACTTTACACTGGAAGAAATATGGAATTAGTGATTGAATAGAAGATGACCAAGGCTTTCAGCGGAGTGTTGGTTGGAGTCATGTGACCTGCCAGTTTCCTTCTGCAACCAGCGTAATTATGTTGCGGAGCAGAGTTAAAGGGGAGGGAAACACAGAGCTGTCTTCATAGCCTGTCCCTAGAGGACTTGCTTTAAAGACTGGCTCTAAATGGTTTGAGAATATCACAAGGGCTCCATAGAGAGTAAACAATGCAGATATGGTTTCCATCTTTCCGTGGACACAGAGCACTGCAGGACAGCATTTCTCTGTCTACACTAGGAATGTAGCAGATGGCAGGATGATTTGTTGGGAAGCTTTAGATGGCACAGGGGGCTGCTGAAGTGCCTGTCTTCGCCCCTTGAGCACGGGGAATCCCACTGTGCATGGGAAGAGCACTTCATGGTCATCTTAGTGACTGGTCATCATTTTGATCTTACAGCAAGAAGTCCAGACTTTCTTTGTCATTGTAGCGCTGGTGTCTGTGCCGTGGATGCTTTTGATTAAGCCATTTGTTCTTAGGGCCAAGCACCAGAAATCTCAGGTGAGTGCTGGCTTTTCGTTTGCCCACTGTGGATCAGAGCACATACTCCTAGAAATTAAGCCTCGGGTGGGGAGAGAGTGGTGGGCTTCCCTGCAAGGCCTGGGGAGGTCTCAAGAGTGTGTGCCCTTCAGCAGATGAAAGATACCTAGCTGACACTGAATGAGGTCCATTATTTTGTTAATACTTTAATAACTCGGAGGCCAAGCTGAAAGGTGTCTTCCTCTCCTTGTTTGTCAACAGCTGCAGTCTTTCACGATCCATGAAGATGCCATGGAGGGTGACCACTCTGGTCCCTCTGCTAAGAAGACTGCAGGTGCCCATGGGCTGAAGGACGGCCACGAGGAGGAGGTATCTGAGACTGCAGTACCAAAGGCCAGCCTCTCAGTGTGCATAGAGTCTAGATGTGATCTTTACAGTCACACAATAGCACACAAGGGTGCAGCCACCATCCTGGCTGAATGAACTCAGACTCATGCTGGAGGATCTAGGGGCCTCTGCTGGTCTCGGCCTATGGCTCCTTAGTCAGAAGGTTTCAGAAAGCCCAGGAAAGAGAAATTTGCTAAGTGGATCAGAACAGGGAGTTAACATTGAATTTGAAAATACTTTACTATTTTGGCCAATTACTGCGGTTATCTTTAAGAGCTTGTGAGGACCAACCATCCTATCAGCCCAGCAGCTTAGCGGGTCCCTTGAGCTGAGACCCTCAGCCCCAAGCACCAGCAACATTGTGTGAGCCTAGCACCGGTACCATCTCTGCTGCCACAGCTTGTGTCTAGCTTGAGGTATTGCAGTAAGCAATGGATTGCTGTAAATCCCAACCCTTTTCTCCAACATAATGTATCTGCCTTTTCTAAACCCTAGTCTCATGTCTAGAACTCCCTGCTGTATGCCTCTTCTTGTGTAGCTCACTGTCACCCCAAACTCAGCACCTGTAAGTCCAATTCACTGTTATCAATGCCATCCTTGGCGACTACTTAGGCTCGAGTGCTTTGAGACCTGTATGATCCCTGACCCCAACTGGGTAAGAGACTTTCCTAAAAATTCCAGAATCACGCCGGGAATCCCGGAATCTGGGACTCAGTGTGTCAGCCAGTACAGTCGCCGTGCTATGGTGTGGCAGCTGCCTTTTTTGTATGTTCTCTCCACTAGGCTGTAAGCTGCCCCAGGGCTGTTGCTCTCAAGTCAGCAGAGAATAGGGGGTAATGAGGGCTATGGGGTCTTCCAACCACTCTTCTCCTTCCGATCTGGCTGGGCTGATCCCCGTGGGAGCGGTCTGATCCATTGTGCCTGCAGATTAACCTTCTGCCATGTTTCAACTCTTTCTGCATCTTTCTCTTCCCCCATCTCACCTATCTGGAAACATCACTACCTGAGCTCTGTCTGCTGTTCTTCAGCTAACAAGCCCTGGTTTCCAACAGATTGATCTTCCCCTTTGACGTTGGCCTCAACAATAGTGCAAGCCACCTGGATTTTCCTTCCAGGGTCTGTTTCTTCTTTGGGAACACATTTCCCTTCCATGTCTCTACGCATGCGTCATGCGGCAGTGTAACTCCACCTCCCCGGCTCAGCCCTGCTCTTAGAGCTCCTTTCTGTTGTTGATGGGAAATGGTGCTTTGTACCTGGGCCGTTTCCTCAAGTAAATTAATGTGTACTTCCCCAAGTTAGGCGAGAACTTCCCTAACACCCGTTCCCCACTCATCTGTGTATCATGTATGCCTCTTTCCCGTGGAAGAAAGCACAGAGGGAGTCATGGGTACCAAGGCACAGGGAGCAAGGCTAAGATCTAGTGGTCCACAGCCACGGGGTTGCCAGCCAGTGGCAGCAAGGGTGGAGATGAGATGTGACTCCTCCCTGTTGCCCACAGCAGCCTGAGGAGGCCCATCTTTAACTTGGACACAGAAAAGAATTTCAGAATGACCCAGTATGAAGCATAATTGGAGTTTATTAAAACAAAACAAAAACGAATCAAAACAAAAGGCTCCGGGAAAGATTAAAGCACACTCAACATCTCTGGTGGGCTTCTTAGAGTCAGTTTTGTTAAACGACAATTTTAACACGGATTTTAAGCACAGGGGCTAAGAGAAGCAGATATTTGGGAAAAAAATAAGACATCCCCAAGTGTGGGTGTGCACTCTTCAAGGGAGTGTCACGATTTACAGCTGTCTTTTGGTCGGTTTTTTTGTTTTTTGTTTTGTTTGTTTTTTTTTTTCAAGACAGGGTTTCTCTGTGTAGCCCTGGCTGTCCTGGAACTCACTCTGTAGACCAGGCTGGCCTCGAACTCAGAAATCTGCCTGCCTCTTACAGCTGTCTTTTAACATTAGCCATACATACCATCTCGGTAGCTCACAGGTTACAATTCAAAGGGTACTCAGCACTCTTTTCTCCTTTCCTCTCTCTCTCTCTGATGAGATCGCAGGCTGGCTCCAGAGGTAGGCTAGAAGATGTTATAACCAATAAGCCACCGGGGTTGTACAAGGAGTTTAGAGCATGCTCTTTACTGTGGATGAAATTTATTTTTTGATGAGATTTCTAGAAAATTGCAGGTTTGCAGCTGAGAAGGGAAAAGGCCTTAAGCAAATGTTAGAATTCTTGACTTTTGTGGGCGTCTTCCCATTCCCTTCCCATGTCCTCGTTTCTCCCCTTTCTATCCCGGCCCACGGGGACTGTGGCTGTAATCTATGATATAATTTGTAACTAACTGGAAGACAGGAGTTCAAAGCCCTCCAATTACCCTGATATGATGAGGATTTATTACAAAATATCCTACACCATAAATATGTAGATTACTATAATAAAAAGGAAAATTAGATTTTAACGTTCCCACTATAAAGGAAGAGGGAAGGGAGAGAAAGAACTTAATGAAATAAGGTAGAAAATGCTCTGTCACAGTTCAACTTTGGAGACATCTTTGTCCACCAAGCCATCCACACCATTGAGTACTGCCTGGGCTGCATCTCCAATACGGCCTCGTACCTGCGGCTCTGGGCCCTCAGCTTGGCTCACGCAGGTGAGTGTACAACCCGGGAATATGTGGGCAGGGGGAGGGGGGAGGAGTTGACAACCATACTACCCTGAGAACAGGCTTACTGTATTCACAAGCAGAAGTGCTTTCCCTGGGCCATTTAACGTTTTTCCTTGGTGTCTTTCTGGACCTTAATCAACCTACTATAGTTTTCCGTGCTTCTGAATTTATGTAAACAGAATCTTAGCTTGGGCCTGGCATGACAAAATGCCACATCAGACTGTGTGGCTTCAGCCAGACACTGATTTTCTTACAGTTCTGTAGGCTGGAAGTTTGAGGTAGAGGGCCAGTGTGGGTGGGCTTGGGTGGAAGCTCCCTTTTCAAATGTCCTCACACAGAGGTGGGGGATGTGAGAGCCAAGATATCAGAGTGAACGAGTTCTGACTTTTCCCTAATCCCATGGCAAAGGGACCCCTCTCATATTTCTGATGTCTCCCCTCCAAGACTGTCTCCAAATACTGTGACACTGAAAGTTCAGATCTCAACACAGGGAGAGGTTGTGTCCCAGAGAGGGCCACAGACAAACCGTGCTTCATGCATTCTTTTAGGTTTAGCATTTTCCTGCCTATCTCGTGTGTGTTGTTTCTATTGTGTTCCCTTTGCTACCAACAGCTCTGGTTGGCTTACTTTCCCTGGTGATCACAGTGTGTGTGGTTCTGAGTATTTGGCTGGTTATTCTTGTTGGAAGCCCTATCACAGTGATCAAAGTTGAGGTAGATAAGTTCCTGCACGACCCTCAGAGGCACCTTCGAGTCTGAGGTGATAGGCTGAGAGGGATGTGCATTGAACAGACGTGTACGTGACACAGCCAGGGCTGAGGATGTCCTCCTTGCTCCCACAGAGCTGTCCGAGGTACTCTGGACCATGGTGATGAGCATCGGCCTACGCATTCGAGGCTGGGGAGGGCTCATTGGCGTCTTCATCATTTTTGCCGTCTTTGCCGTCCTCACAGTGGCCATCCTCCTCATCATGGAGGGTCTCTCAGCCTTTCTGCATGCCCTCCGGCTGCATTGGTGAGCCTGCTTGTCCCCGGGGAGCTGGAGGTTGAGCTGGGAAAGGGCCATCTGCAGGGCTGGCTGGCAGGAGTCACAGTTAAACTCTGTTTGTGGAACCTCGGTTATCCGTTTGTATAGAATGTGTGATGTGACGTATATGCACATGTATGCAGCCGTGCTGGCCGCCCTGTAATGAAGCTCTCTTTAGTTCCTAGTATCTATTTGCTCTCTTGTTACTAAAGCTGGCTTTAGAATGGGTCAGACCTGAAACAGGCTTGTAGAGAGCCTGTGATTCGAGTAGGGGTGCCTGGCCACCGTGGTCGCTGAGAGCAGGAGTTTCAGTCGAAGAAACAAGCCACTCAACTCTGCAGAGGAAACAGGAGGGTGCCCCAGGAAGCCCTTAGCATTCACAGATGGACCCAGAGACTACTGGTGAAGCTAGGTTGCGGGTGCTGTGTTGTTTTAAAGCCACCCTGACCAGCCTCAGTATACACCACAGCTGCTATTGTTAGGGAACATTTTATTTTGATTCTTTTCATCTCATGCCTATGAGTGTTTTGCCAGTATATATGTCTATATACCTTATGTATGCAGTGCCTGTGGAGGCCAGAAAAGGGCATCAGATACCCTGGGACTGGAGTTGTACACACACTTGTGAGCTGCCATATGGGTGCTGAGAATCAAATCTTCCTCTGGAAAAACATCCAGTGCTTTTAAACTCGAGCCACCTCTCTAGCCCTAAAAAAACAATATTTTTATGTCTACATGTTGAGTGGAGCGAATGGAAGCATCTCCTATCACCAGGCTGACATTTCCTCTCTAGTGTACAAAGCACGCCTCTGTAACGCCACAACACAAAAATGAGCGTGGGTGACACTGGTCATAAAGTGACTTTACAACATACAGGCCAATAGCCTCTTTGCAACTTGATATGCCATGTTTGTTTGCTGGCTATCCCTGGGAGGCCTGTTCTTTTTCTGAAGGGAAATGGAAGTAGAAGTGTATGATGACGGTTGGGATAGAGGGAGGAGCTAGGAGGAGAGGAAGAAGGGGAAACTGCAGTCGGATGTAATGAGAGAGTAACGGGGTGGGGGAGGGGGCAAGCTTCTGCTCATTCTGTGCTAGCATGGACCCCACAACTGGAAGTTAGGGTGGAGATGGAAGCCATGCATAACCACATAGAGAGCTGACGCCTCATGTACTGTGATGATCAAGTAGTGCAGTGAGGGGGGAGGCATCCTTGCTTGGATGGAGGCTGTGGACGTTCATGATGTGGGGGAAGTGTGTGCTGTGTCCCGTGAAGCCTGAGGAAGAGAGGTGGGAGGAAGAAGGCGTGGTAAGAAGGAGGCTCAAGGTCATCAGGTTCCCACGGTGTTCTGCGCCTTGCCGCTGCCTGCCAGCCTCGAGCTGACATTTCAATCTGTTTTTCTTGCCCTTCCCGATCACCACAGGGTGGAATTCCAGAACAAGTTCTATGAGGGAGCCGGCTCCAAGTTCTCCCCCTTCTCCTTCAAGCACATCCTGGAAGGGACGGCTGAAGAATAGGCCTGTCTGCATCTGCATCCTGGTGCAGGCGACAGCTGAAGAAGTTCACTCTTGTCTCTGACGTCAACCCAGGCTGGGTGTCCCCTGCCGCAGCCCTTCTCGGCTATCTGAAGTGAGAGGCTGTGTAAGGTGCAGAATTTGACAGGACTTAGGCACGTAACTGAGGGGCTGCTTTGGTAAATCATTTGGACGTCACGTGTAGTCTTCGTGATCAAATACTAACATAACTGGGAAACGGGTTGGGGGCACCAGGCCACTATCTTCCTGTGATAGTTTATTTTTATTTTACATTATTTCTGTCTTTGAGACAAGATCTCTAGCTTTAACTGTCCTGGGAATAACCACACAGCCAAGGATGTCCTTGATCTTGAACTTGGGCTTCTCCTGCCTCTACATCCCAAATGCTGAGATGACAGGCAGGAGCCCCCTCACCTGGAGCTCCTGTGGTATTTCAAGTGTTATAATCATGAAAATAAATGTCTGCTTTATTCACTGTTTCTTTAAGATGTCGTTATTCAAAATTAATCCTTAACATTTAGCGTCGGCATTTAAAGGCCAATGCCGAACAATGGGGTTACACAACCTAATCCCGGGACAGGATCAGGTTCTTTTTCCATTCACTCCCCCCTTGTCTGGGGCCTAGCATTACAAGCTTAAGGACTTTCAAACATTGTCACCCCACAGGAGGAAGGACAGCTAATGCCTTCTCTGGAGAGGGAGGCCCAGCCCTGGCTCTCTGCATCGCTAAGTCCTGAGAAATGAAACGTGACCACATGACATCATTCTTGGGGCACTGCTTATTGTCAACACACACTGTGCTGGGGTAACTGGAACAGGAGGTGCAGAGGCATGGTGGGTTCAGGAAACAGTGTACAAAGAAGGAGACTACCTCATAGTTGGGGGCTGAGAGCCCAGAAGCAATGTATTAGGACACCTGGACTTGTGATCCCCCAGGTGCCTGAGGAGATTCCTCCTGTGCCCCGTTCTTTCTGAATGACCTGAGTTCAGGTGAAGAGCTGTCAACTCTATCACAACTGTAGAAGTAGGACTAAGAATAAGTCACATTTTGTAATGCTTCACCATTGACTAAGTGCTTTTTACCTAAAGAGCTGATCATATGCAAATTTTCCATTTAGTTTGGAGTGTGTGTGCGTGTGTTCTCATGTATGAGTGCAGGCACATGTATGCCATGATACCCATGGAGATTAGAGGACAACTTTCCATGCTACTGGGTACACCAGGCTAGCTGGCCTGTGAGCTTCCAGGGATGCTCCTGTCTCTTGACCCCTGTCTTACCATAGGAACGGTGGGATTACAGACTCACACTACTGTGCCTGGCTTTTACATAGCTTCTGGGGGATTTGAACTTAGGTCCTCATGCTTATGTGGTGGGCACTTTATCCACCTGTCATCTTCCCAGCTTGGGAATCTTATCTCTTAGATCCCATTTGCTGACCCGTGTCAAGATTGACTGGGATTGGTAGAAGCAACGTGCAAACCTTCCACGCACTTGGCAGGGAGAATAACTCTGTTTCTTGTCCAGGGATGCACGTGATGAGGCGTCACAAATGGAACGCAAACACAGATACCAATTGGTGCACAGAAGGCTCTCCACCTCTCTAGACTATAGAAAAGGGATTGTAAGACCTGGGCAATGGAGGGATGCACAAACCAATGATGGCTGACAGAATAGACCAGCTCTAAGTGCCTCTGAGAAGCCCACGGCTCTCCTACTGCCACGACCACCAGGGAGTCTTAAGTTCTCAGCTTGCTGGTGTTATTCTGGACATCCATCTAAAGAATTCACTCGGAATCCAAGGCTCAAAGGCACCACACACCCCTACTCTTTCAGAAATGCCCCTCCAGCCTGAGAGAGTAACAAGCTAAAGTCCCCCAAGGCTTGGCAGCTGCGTTCTGAGTCTGGGAACGCTGTTATTTTCTGTTTAACAAGAGATCAGGTGAGGGCTGTTTAGAAGGGGGTGTGACCTCAGAATGCCAGGTGGCTCCTTAATGAATCCAGTCTGGAGAAGTGAGATGAAAGGAGGGTAGGGACGGGGCCAGGCCGTTCTGAAAGTTCAGAGGAGAGAGGCCTCCAGGGCTGCCAGAGACTGCACACAGGGACCTGAAATCAGAACGGTTTCCCGAGGAATACAGAGGTGAGAAACTTTCAGGCAACAGGCTCGTTTTTTACTGTTTTACTGTTTTTACCTGTTTTTACTGCTGCTGTTCAGAGTAGGGAGGGGAGCTGCCTGTGTGTGGCAGGAGGCAAATGAAGTGCGAAACCTTTGTTTTTTTCAATATTTAAGTATTGTATATATGGAAGTGTGTGTGTGCATGAGCACGCGTGCATAGTTCATGCCCTATGCACATTCCCAGAAGTCAGAGGAGGACACCAGGTGTCTTGTTGTATCATTGTCCACTTACCCCCTTGAGAAAGAGTCTCTTACTGAACCTGGAGCTGGCAGCCAGCAAAACCCAGTGACCCTCCCGTCCCTGCCCCTCCCTGGTGCCGGTTATTGAGGCCCACAACCATACTGGCTTTTTGTATGGGTTCTAGCAATTTGAAATTGGGGTCCTTATACAAGTATTCTCCCAGCCCCTTATTGATGATGCTATAAAACAAATTGCATCACACATCAGTAAAAAGATCTACAGGGAGCAGTTATTTCTGGCTTAAAAAATAAAGTATATTGAAATACAGTAGAATGAAGCTATCAGTCTTTCTCAGAGTTTGGTTACTTGAGGCCCCTCGTGCACCTTTGAGTGGCAGAGTCAAACCTTAAATCTGTCCAAGTCTACCCATATCCCCTCTTCTGGTTGGCTGAAGGTGGGGCATGCACTGCATCCTCACTTCAGTGTTTAAGGAAGAGCTGGCCGGGGATGCTAGGAGTTTTATTCCTTGTTTCTCTGGGTTAGTTTGGTTTAGCTTCTGCTCTATCCTCCATCCTTCCTCCCCCCCTCTCCCTCCTTTTCTCCCACCTCTCTTTTCCTTCTTCCCTCTTTTCTTCCTTTCTTCCCTCCTTCCCTCCCTCTCTCCTTTCTTCCTCATGAGACTCTCACCTACCTGAGGAGCTATTGGCAACAACCAATGGCTATTAGGGGAAGGAGAGTGTTTAATGTACTACAAAGTCCATTTTATAATCAAATGCCACTACTTCACAAAAAATTATCAACTAGAGAATGGAGAGATGGCAGTCAGGAAAGGGCTAGCCCATGTAAGCATGGGAGCTGTGTTTAGACTTCCAGCACATACATAAAAATCCAGGTGTGGTAGCATATACTCTTAATCCCAATGTTGGGGAGGCAGAAACAGGGAGATTCCTGGCCAGTCTAGCCTAAGCAGTGAGCTCCAGGCCAAGGAGAGCCCTTGTCTCAAGGGTGATGGGTGACATTCCTGAGAATGACACCTGAGGTTGTCCTCCACACTCCACATACACACAAATGTCTAGGGGGTGGGGGAAGGCAGCTCACAAGGAACAACACACAAAGTTCTCTGGCCCCTGTGTGTGTGTGTGTATCTGTGTCTGTGTGTGTGTGTGTATACGCATGGATTCGCACATGTACGTGACAGACCTTTACCAAATAAGAACACCTCTCCAAGAAGTGTCTCAACAGTGTTTGGAAAAAGGACAGTGATTTTAGAAATGACTACCCGAATGGCAGGCTACTGAAGGGGTGAGATCAGCTGTTTTAAGACTGGAGCCTACCTCCAGAAGGAGACAGGTCCTTGTCTACTCCCTTAAGGGTTAATCCAGTGGGGAAAGTCCAGTTATCTGGCTAGGGAACCACTCTTGGGAAGGTGAGTTTAAGATAACGTACTTTTCCATCCTAGAATTCCTGCCTCTTAGTGCACTCCTTATGAGCTAGTTTTGTGTGTCAACTTGACACAAGCTGGAGTTATCACAGAGAAAGGAGCCTCCCTTGAGGAAATGCCCCCATGCGATCCAGCTGTAAGGCATTTTCTCAATTAGTGATCAAGGGTGGGAGGACCCATCCCATTGTGTGTGGTACCATTTCTGGGCTGGTTGTCCTGGGTTCTATAAGAAAGCAGGCTGAGCAAGCCAGGGGAAGCAAGCCAGTAAGCAGCACCCTCCATGGCATCTGCATCAGCTTCTACCTCCAAGTTCCTGCCCTGTGTGAGTTCCAGTCCTGACTTCCTTTGGTGATGAACAGCAATGTGGAAGTGTAAGCTGAATAAACCCTTTCCTCCCCAACTTGCTTCTTGGTCATGATGTTTTGTGCAGGAATAGAATCCCTGACTAAGACAGGTACCACAGGGGTTGGCTGGGTTTGTCTACCTGTGTAAGTTCTAACTCAGAAAGCCATAATGTTGGCCAGAACTTAAGTATGCTTTTAATCTCTTTAACTGATGTGTTTGGGCTTTCTTATTCAATTTATTTTCTTTAAAAAGAATTATGTGTGTGAGTGTCTTTGCATATGTGTGTGTGTGCCCCCTTGTAGGCTATGAGAGGATGACGGATCCCATGGAACTAGAGTTAGAGAAGATTGTTGGCCCCTGTGTGGCTGCTGGGAACTTGACCCAGGTCCTCTGCAAGAGCAGTAAGTGCTCTTAACTACTAAGCCATCTCTCCAGCCCTCCTTTTCCCTTTTCCAAAGCCCCCCCTCACCCCCACCGTGCTACCTGAGAGCAGGTGGCTCAGATCCGGGAGGGCCAGCCTATTTTCTCCCTTCTCCTCCTCCCCGCAGATGTGAGATTTACAGCTGGCCTGCTCTACCCTTGTCCTTCGACTCTAATAAATGTTCCTCAGGTCTCCTTTCAGCCCATTTTCCGTCCCCGAGCTTCTGGGTGTGTCTGTTCTTAAATGGATTATTGAAGGGACTAAGGTCCGCAAAGGAGGACCCTGATTTGCTGGGACTCCCCAAGATTTCTGGCAACATCACTTTCCTACCTTTTAATCTTTAATCAGTAGAGAAAATGAACCTGTGCCCGCACTTCTAGATGATGTCATACTGTGGTTTCTGTTACTTAGAATAACTTCTTTTTGTTTTTGATGCTTAGGAGGGACAATTTCGTGGATTATTGCTGAGTGGCATTGTTGTGATTCCCTACTGGGAATATGTGTGCTCTGTGATGGTAACCTTCTAGAGGAAAAAACCAACAACCAACCAACCAAACAAACAAATAAACAAACAAAAAACAAAAGACACACAAAAGGATTTCATTACCACAGCGTAGTTGTCTTAACGTCTATCTTATGTGTCACCAACTATGTCGAAGAATTCTTAGGACATGGAACACATTAGGCCCTCCCTTGAAGTCCTCACAGAGGCCCACAAAACACAAGATATCACTCCAACACTTGACAGGCATGGATGCCCTTCCTGGGCTGCTGTAGAACTGTCTGTGGCTTCTATGTTCTAGGAAAGAGAGACTTGTTTCTGGGCGTGTCTGTGTGTGATGTGTCTGTTTTATTGGACTACGAAAAGTTGTCACATTACACACAGAGACTGTATTCATTTGGAGGTAAGTATACAGCTGTGGAGCCATCCCGAATGTTTCTGCCAAATCTACTGTCACCTCCAGTTGCTGCATTCCCTGCTGCTGTGGTCTCTTCCTCCTTCCATCTTGTGAGGCACTCAGCACAGACCTACCCTCTCAGCAGTTGTAGTATAGAACACAGTGTCACGTGCCTCCTGTATAGGGTCCGTCCCTCAGACTGGCTACACTTCGTGTCAGCTGCCAGTACCATGCCCTGCCCAGCACCATGCCCCGCCCAGCACCATCTCCCGCCCAGCACCATGCCCCACCCAGCGCCATGCCCCGCCCCACATCCCTGGCAGTTGCTCTTTCCCGGCATCATCATCCGAGTCACATTGATCCCTTCCAGACCCGACTTATTCACTCGACATCATGCCCTCAGCCTCTCTCTATGTTGTTACCCGTGGCAGGATTTCCTTCTTTTATGGCTCGATGGTAGTCTGTTTCATGTACATGGTGCATTTTTCTTATGCGTACATCCATCAATAGACGTTTAGGTTGCTTCCTGTCTTGGCTGTTGTAAGTGATGTTGTAGCAACACAAGCTACAGGTTTTCCTTTAGGATAGCTGCCTCCAGCTCCTGGAGATCCAAGTCTCTAGAGTTTGAACCATTGCATAATATGATAGTTCTACTTCTATTTTTTTATTTTTTATTTTTTGAGGAAACATCTTACTCCATCCACAATGGCTGTACCAATTTACATTCTAATGAACAGTGTGCAAGGGTTCCACAGCCTCACACGTATCACACATGAGTGGGGCTGTGGCTCGTGTGTGGGCATGGGTCCTGTTGGGTTGAGTTGTGGATCTTGCGTGTCTGCCGCCCCAGGCAGCTAGGGCCACAGCTCAGGGAGTAGAAGCATGGGAATTTGACCGAGTTCACTCCATGTTGCACCAGACGGATGCCAGGCTATGAGAAGCCACAGAGCTCTACTCTGGAAGTGGAGAGATCCCAGTCTGAGGTCCTGGGTAGGGGAGGGAGGGCAGAGCTCTTGGGTTGGGGACCCCCAGGCAAGAAGGTGGGCGGGGATTGCCTGGCCTCAGATCCTTGGGCTCCCAGGCGCTGCTGAGAGACAGCATAAAAGTTGAGACAGGGAGGACAGGCTAGAGCGACCCATAGCCGAAAGGGGCAGAGGAGGAGAAGATGAGCTTTGGTAGCGCCCCCCCGCCCCCCATGGGTAGATGAGACTCTTGGTTGAGGTGACCCGCTTGGCTGGGTCATGGTTGGCTCGAGTTGCTTGCTTAAGTTGGTGGGCTCTGTGGCTGGAACGCAGAGAGGTCCTTGGTGGGAGATTAAACAGTGGCTCAGTAGTTGAAGACTTTCTCCATGGTCCCCCATGGCGAGCCCCAAAGACAAGAGGGTGTCTATGTTTTTAAAAGGTTTATTGTCAAGGTGGATGAAGCTGTACCTCATGTTCTTAGGGCGGGCCTGAGGTTAAATACCTTTTGCAAGTAGGAGGAGGGTCTGGAAAGGAATGCTTAATTGGCTATGCTCTCTGGCCTTTAGGTACCTCATGAATATGGAGATCTATTGAGGCTCTGCCGCCTGTAGTCAGGCCCTCTACCTGTGGAGGGGCTGGTAGGGGTGTTGTCCTACGTGCCTGAAAGGCATGTATTGATGGAGATCTTCTGCCTCATGTCAGAAGCCTGGAGTCTGGGAACTTGGCTAAATGCATACCATCCCTTGCAGGGAAACCTGTGAGGTCTCCAACCTGTTGGGTCTCTGACTAGCTCTAGCCAGTGCTGGACCAGAAACCATGATGTCCTTTCACAGTCCTACACACATGTGCTCTACCACTGAGCTACATCCTCAAGCCCTTTTCCAACGTTTTGATAATAGCTATTCTCAGGGGTGTGGTCAAGTTTCTTCGTGGCTTTGATTGGCATCTCCCTCTTGATTAGTGCTGCTGAGTACCTCTTATGTACCTATTAGCCAATTGTATATCTTTTTTTCACTTGTTTATGTGTATATGTGTGAGGTATACATATGTGTGAAGGCATATCTTTATGTGGGTATATGTAAGTGTGCACATGTGTTGGTATGCATGCAGAGGCCCAGTGTTGATGTTGGGAGTCTTCTTTAATAGCTCTCAACTTACTGAGGCAGGGCCTTTCTCTTGAACCCAGAGATTCAAGAGGTACAGATTTATCTAGTTGACTAGCCAGGTTGCTATAAAGATTCCCCAAGGGCTGTGAGGTGAGCTCCTTTCATGGGAACTCTGATCCTCATGCTTGCAGGTTCCTGATACACTTTGGTTGTTAACCGTTTATATGTTATGACTCATAACGTTACGTTATGAGTCTATGGAAAATTTATATAAGAATCACGGAATTTTATTTTTAAAGTTATTCATTTTGAAAATGTTACACATACTAAAATAAACCACAGTACATCCATAATTCTTCAATACTTTTTCACACGTATGGCCTACCTTTTTTTTATTATTTATTTTCATTTATGGGTTTGAGTGTTTTACCTGCATATGTGTATATGGACTGTTTGTTTGTCCAGTGCATGCAGAGGCCAACAGAGAGCGTCAGATGCCCTATAACTGGAGTTACAGATGGTTGTAAACCGCCGATGAGTTTTTGATCACCAAGTCAAGAGTTTCTCTATGTAGGCCTGGCTGTCCTGGAACTCACTCTGTAGAGCAGGCTGGCCTTGAACTCTGTACTCAGAGACACACATACCTCTGCCTCCTGGATTAAAGGCATGTGCCACTGTTGCGTGGGTCAATCATCACTCTTTTTTTGTGGCAGCAAATGCTTAATGAGCAGTCCTCACAGCAGTCCTGACCAGCACTCTCAGCTTCTTCTTACCAAACAAATCAGTGCACACCAGGTAGAGAATAAAGGCTTTCTGTGAGCTAACAAGTTTGCTTCTCACATCAGCCTAAGAACTAGGTGCAATACTATATTATTCTCATTTTGAGGGTGAGGAGAAGGAGGTGCAGAAGAAGGCAAATTCCTCAAGCCAGGTGCCCAGTAAACAACAAGGAGAGAATTTGAACACAAGAGTAGTCTGTTCCAGATGAAACAGATGACAGAGGACAAAAATACTCTAGGACTGGTGTGTGCACGTGTGTGGGTGCTCATGTGTGTTGTCTGTAGAGGTCAACCTTAGGTGCCTGTGCATGTATGTGCATGTGTATGTGCATGCTACAGGTCAACCTAGGGTGTGGTCCCTCAGGAATGCTGTCTCTTTCTGAGGTAGGCCTCTCACTGACCTGCAACTCATGGATTTGGTCGTGCTGGCTGGCCAGAAAGCCCCAGGAGTCTTCTCGTCTCCACATCAGTTTTTTTACGTGGGTTCTATGAACACAAAAAGCTCCTCATGTGTGCACAGCAAGTGCTTTACTGACTGAGCCTACCTACCAACCTACCTTCTAAGATTTGGAGTGGACTTGGGATATGATATGTATTCTATAGCCATGATATTTCTTCTTTGCTACTCACCCTGGCTTCATTAGGGAAGCCGTGTGGGGAGTCAAAGATGGCAGCACAGAAAGAACCTGTGACGATCATCAGCCTTCGGAAACTGAGCCAGGCAGCCCCAGAACCACAGCAGAAAGGTAAGACCATCCCCCAAAACTCCAGCTTTCAAACTAGTGCTTAACATTGCTATAATAACGAATTACGGGCTACGTCTGAGGGTCAGTTGGTAGACTGTTTGCCTAACCTGCACAAAGTCCTAAGTTTGATTCTTGGTACCATATAAACTGGGTACAGAGGCACATGTCTGCAATCCCACATGAGAGGTAGAGGCACGAGGATCAGGAGTTCAAGGTCACTCTCAGCTGTGTAGGCTGAAGACAGTCTAGGCTGCACAAGACAGAGTAATGAATAATAATAACGTTGTGCGTACCTACAAAGGTGGGCCACAGTCCGCAAGGGTTCCCCCCACCTCTGACCCGAGTGGTCCTTATACTCTGCCTTCCTTGTCAGAGACCAAGACATTCACCGTGGAGGATGCGGTGGAGACCATCGGCTTCGGGCGTTTCCACATTGCACTCTTCCTAATCATGGGCAGCACCGGGGTGAGTGCCCTCAGAGAACCTCTGCCGCTGTGATTCTGTCCTCACTGCTGCCAAGTCTCTGTTGGCCCCCAGCAGTGGGCTGTTCGTTCCAGGAAGTGAGAATCCCATGGAAATGATGTCATCAGTCTTTGCAATGGTTTGGCTGGGAACGACGGAATGCATGTATCTGTTCTGGCAATCCAAGACTCATCTTAAAGGTTTACACTGAGCTCTTGGGAAGAAGGGAAAGGCAGGAGGTTATTCCATGTGGCGTAGATGCAAGCTCTTGAGCATGTGTACATTGGTCAGCAAGATCACAGGGGTATATGTACTCTCAAGCTTTAGAGATACTCTCAAGTTGTGCCAACTATGGACATTACATCTATGAAAGCCAAGGATCAACTGTAGGAATCTACTTTATTTTTGTTCTGCTTCAGATTTTTTGATTCAGGGTCTTGAAGCTAGCCAGTGCTGGTCTCAAATCCACGACGCTCCTGCCTGCTGGGATCACAGATGTATGCTACTGTGACTGGCTCTCCCCACCACCACCACACACACACCTAGGGCAGTGGTTCCCAACCTTCTAATGCTGGCACCCTTTAATACAGTTCCTCATGTTGTGGTGACCCCCAACCATGAAATTATTTTCATTGCTGTTTCATAACTGTAATTTTGCTACTGTTATGAATCATAAGGTAAATATTTGTGTTTTCTGTTGATCTTAGGTGACCCCTGTAAGTGGGTCATTCAACCCCCAGGTTGAGGATCCGCAGATTGAGAACTGCTGACCTAGGGGAAAGAAGACATTGGGACTAGGAGGGTGACATGCTTGTGTGGAGGTGACATGAGCTGGTGTACAGATGTGACTTTGTTTCTTCCTTCTCCTTCAGGTTGTGGAGGCCATGGAGATCATGTTAATAGCAGTTGTGTCCCCTGTTATCCGCTGTGAATGGCGGCTGGAGAACTGGCAGGTGGCGTTTGTCACCACGGTGAGTACCTGCTGCCTGTGCACTGTGAATGAATGAACAACCTCAATGCCCGGCTTTCTTTCCAGTACTCCGAGAGCTCACAGCCAACCCTAATGCTACTCATAATGAATAGTGCTGGCCTCCAAAGCTCATGGGTTTCCAGGCCCTATGCAGTTAGCATTCAAAGCCTTTCTCGCTTTCTCTTTTAGTCTAGTGAATAACCGTGAGTAGCCGGGCATCCCTAGCTGATGTTATCTCCTCCATAATTCTAGAACAGTCTCACCTTCATGCACTGCCATCAGTCACAGCCCCAGCCCCTCCTCCCTAGGATCCCACCCTCCAGCTGATCTCCATTCAACATCCACCAGGACATTAAGCCCTCCCTGAAAAAGATATCGACACAGTATGTGCCTGAGTTTTCAGATTCCCAGTCCATGTAACAAGAAGCAACTTTATGCAAAGGATTTGTACTTCATAGTCATATTTCTTACGAAATGGATATTAAAGTCTGCTTTCTATCTGACACATGGTTTGGGTAGTACGCAAAGAGGACCTACTGAAAATGTGAGGCCAGGTCATGGATGTGAGCAGCCACTGAAGGGCTTAAAGAGGGTGTTCCAAGAAATCTGAGGAAGTACAGCTGATGAGCCTGATTTCAAATGGCATTACAAAGCATCAATGACAAACACAGAGCAGTGCTGGCCAAAAGTCACACGCAGATCAAGGGCAGGGAACCCAGATGTAAACCTGCACGGCCATGGCCATGCAGGTTTTGAGAGAGGTGCCAAAAACACCCATGGGAAAGCAAATGGCCTGTCTGCAAAGGGTGCTGGGAAAACTGAGTATACACACTCAAAGAACAAAATTAGAACTACATTTCACCTTGCACAAAAAATCAATTCAAAATGGTTCAGAGACCTTAATATGAAACCCAAAACACTGAGACTTGCTAGAGGGAAGAAACTTCAAGACACAGGACTAGGCAAGGACTCTCTGGACGACTCCAACAACACAGGAAATGACACCAGTTGACAAGTGGGATTATGTGAAATTAAAAAGCCAGCCAAGGAAGCAGTCACCAGAGTGCAGAGGCAGCCTACAGAAAGGGGGAAAATTTCTGCCAGCTCAGACAGGAGGCCAATACCCAAAACATGTAAAGAACCAGGGGAAAAAAAATACACCAAGAATCCAAATTTTCCAATAAATCAGTGATGTAGTATATGGTATAAACAGTTCTCCAAAGAAGAAAGTAAACAGCCAATAGACATTTGAAATATTCAGCATCCTTATTCATCAGAGAAATGGAAATTAAAACGACTTTGAGATTTCCTCTCACCCCAGTCACAGTGGCTGTCATCGAGAAAAGGAGTGACCACAAATGTTGGCAAGGGTGTGGGGGAGGGGAGCCTTTACTCACTGTTGAGAAATCAATATGTAAGCCTCTCAAGAAAAGCTAAAACTGATATTGACCAAGGACAAGGAAGTGGGCTTCAGGCAGGAATCTGACATTTGGCTAGAATAAAGAAGCAATTTCAGGCAGGAATCTAAATATTAGGCTAGAACAAAGAAGTAGGCTTCAGACATGAAAACAACTTTGGACTGGTACAGGGAAGTAGGCTCAGATATTTTGGTCATCCTGATAAGCCCTTAGAAATAGTGATCATGGGAGTGATCTTAGAACTTTGTTGTTGCCTTGCTTGTTCTTGACTATTTGTGTTTATTGTCTTGCTTGTTCCTTGGCTATTTGCATCTATTGCATTGCTAGTTCCTCAACCTAGAACTGACCTTAATACCTGCATGTAATCAAAATGGTATAAAAGCAAAAAATGGATGGATGGGATGGGATAGGGGGTTCTAGGGAGGGGAAATGGGGGAAGGGGATGACATCTGAAATGTAAATAAATAAAATATCCAATAAAAAAGTATATAAAAAAAGAAGGATAAAGCCACAGTACTGTATAGCTGTTGCTGACCGCAAATCTCTAAATATAAATAAACAGAAAAATGATTTAGTAAAAAAGAAAAACTAAAACTAGAGCTATTATATGACCCAGCCAAACTGTTCCAGGGTATACTCTTAAAATCCTCTTGGTCCAACTGCAGAGACACTTTGCACGCCTGTGATTGCTGCTCTGTGCACACTGACTAGAGACAGAGTCATCTTAGAGGTCCACCAGTGGATGGACACATCAGAAAATGTGGTGTGTGTACAAAGTCGTACTTTAACCAGCCACAGGAGAAGAGTCACGACCCTGTATGGCAGGGTATGGGACTGGAAACCATTATGTTAAACCACATTTAATTCCAGACTCAGAAAGACAAACTCCACATGTCTTCTCTCATATGTGGGTCTCGGCTTCTAATTTTTGTTTTGTTTTTGTGTTTCGAGACAGGGTTTCTCCGTGTAGCCCTGGCTGTCCTGGAACTCACTCTGTAGACCAGGCTGTCCTGGAACTCAGAAATCCACCTGCCTCTGCCTCCCAAGTGCTGGGATTAAAGACGTGCGCCACTACCGCCGGGCTCGGCTTCTAATGTTTAAACATGTGTTTAGGGAAGATAACTGCCATGAAGCTAAGACGAGGGCCATGAGGGGGAAAAGATGTCTTGGGAGGGTTAGGGAAGATGAAAACTGAAGGTACTAGAGTACATGTGACATGACAGTGTGTGTGGGGGGTGGCAGCAGGAAGCAGGAGAGGAAGGGAAGGAGAAGGGAAGGAGGCATCATAAAAAAGCTTGGGGTTAGAGAGATGGCTCAGCCATTAAGAACACCTGCTGCTCTTGCAGAGGACACAAGTTTGGATCCCAGCACCCATGCTGAGCAGCTCAAACCACCTGTAATCCAGCTCCTGCTCTCCAGCGATCTCTTCTGGGCTCCTTGGACATCTTCATGAACATGTACACACACACACACACACACACACACACACACACACATTCACACACACCAGTACACATACTCGCACACTCGCACACACACACTCATATACATACTCACACAAACATATACAAACACACGCATGTACACACTCACACACACATTCACACTCACATAAACACACAAAGACACACATGCACACATACACATATAAACACACACATGCACACTCACACACTCATACTCACACATTCACTCACAGAAACACATACACAAACACACATGCACACACATTCACACAAACATACAGAACATACTCCCACACACATTCACACAAACACACATGCACACACACACACATTTTAAAAATATGTATAAAATGCTATAACAACAAAACCCATTACATACAAATTGTTTGCTATTTGAAAAATAATTTATAAAAGAGAATTTATGGGAACCTAAGGCCCTGGGTTTAATCCGAAGCACAGAAGTGGGATGGGGCAAGTGTGCTTGCATGATGGTTTTCAAATAGAGAGAGAGAGAGAGAGAGAGAGAGAGAGAGAGAGAGAGAGAGAGAATGAGTGTTAGTGTGCACTTTCTATGAGACTTGTGGGAAGCAAAGCTGGTATTGTGCCTCTTCTCCTGGAGGCACCAGCCTGGAGGCTTCCTGAGGGAAAAGCAGTTGTCTGTCATCTGGAAGGCAGAGAAGTCGGTGCTAAGTGCACACAGGCACACACACAGAGCCAGGGCTGAGTGAAGTGTTACAAGAGAGAAAAACAAGGCAGCTCCGCCTTAGGGTTTACAGTTCAGAGACTTTATGTATTTGTTTATTGAGACAGGGTCTCTATGTGTAAGCACCAGCCAGCACTTACTTACTAAAAACCAAGTCTCCTAATATGGTTGGTGGGAATGAAAACCAGGCCTGGCTTGGAAGGCTCTCAGCAAGACTGAGGCTGAGACAGGTTTATTGCAAGCAATCAGACTTTTCATATGCTTATCAGAAGCAGAATACAGTTGTAGTTGCCAGGATACAATGTTGTTTACAAGCTATGCAGGGTACATAAGGCTAATGACTAATTACGAGTAATCACACAGCCAAGCTGCTATATGTTCTCCTGACTTTTAGGGAACTCAGAGATACACAGACACCTGAGTGCGCCACTGCCCCGAGGAAGTACACTGTTTCTCGGGAACTGAAAGGCCCACAGTGCCCCAGCAACCAGGATTTTAACCTGAAAGATCTATGGATGAGTGCCTGTCAAGACAGCAGACCAGGACAAGTCTAGGGTTCTCTGCATCCATGTAGCCCAAGCTGGCCTCCAATACACTATGTACCCAAGGGTAGCCTTAGATTTCTGACCCTATTGCTTCTACCTCCAGAGTGCTGGGATTACAGACATGAACCCTCGTGCCTGATTTTATGTGGAGCTGGGGATAGAACCAGGGCTTTCTGTGTGCTAAGCAAGCATCCTACTAACTGAGCCCTCCCCAGCCCATGAGAAGTACCAAGAAACGCTGCTTTGGTGGCAGCAGCTTGAGCCACCACAATAAGGAATAAGGAATAAGGCATAACAGGAATGACCAGATCTTAAGTTACAATGGGAAGTCACAGCTTGGTCTGGGCACAGCTGAAGCCAGTGTCTGGGAGAAGGAAAGCAGTTTCCTACTCTGTGGAACCATTTTCACCTGGGTCATGTCGGTATGGTATCTTTGTAAAAGAAGTAGAGGCACTGACCTCAGGAGCCTGCCTGTGCTCCCTGAGCCCTGGAATGCTTTGGGAAACCCATCTGCAGCCTAATTTTTGCTTGGGATGGCTATTTGCTTAATATAGCAAACACATAGCATACTAGTGTATTCTTAGAACATTGTTTTTTTTTTTTTCACCCTGATTCTAGATGGTGTTTTTTGGCTACATGGTATCCAGCATCCTCTTTGGTCTCCTGGCTGACAGATATGGCCGCTGGAAGGTAGGTCAGGCCATGCAGGATTGCAAACCCACTCTTTGGGAGACTCTCCCTATTGTTTCTCTTCCATGGACTTTTGTCCCATGTCAATACCTCTCACCTCAAAGGGGATAAGAGATAGCTTATTCAGGAGCCAAACACAAGTGACCGCTACCAGCAAGAACACAGACTCAGGTTATCCCAAATACCACATTTTTGCTGGCTACTTTTCATGTCAACTTGACACAAGCTAGAGTCATCAGAGAGGAGGGAGCCTCAGTTGAAAAAAAATGTTTCCATAAGATCCAGCTGAAGGTAAACCTGCAGGGCATTTTCTTATTTAGTGGTGGGTGAGAGAGGGCCTGGCCCATTGTGGGTCGTGCCATCAACAGGTTGGTGATCCTGGATTCTATAAGAGTACACAGCAAGCCATGGGGAGCAAGCCAGTTAGCAGCATCCCTCCTCGGCATCTGCATCAGCTCTTGCCTCTAGGTTTCTGTCCTGTTTGGGTTCCTGCTCTGATTTCCTTGGATGGTGAACACTGATGTGGAAGAAGAGTAAGACAAACCCTTCCCCAATTTTCTTTGGTCGTGGTGTTTCATCACAGCAATAGTAACCCTAACTAAGACAATATTCCAACTTGGTCTTGTTATTTAATAACAAATACACCTGTTGGGGACATTGGATTGATAGCTTAAGCAAAGCAGGGGAATCTCTGCTATAGGGCTCAGATGTTATTTGATGACATTTTTTTACTTGGGGACAGCGAAAGCTAGTTAAAGTCATGGAATCCAAAGGTTTTACCTTATAATCACTAGGATGTTGGTTCTGATACAGATGTGGGTGAGACGTGTCTATTGAGAGAGCTAAGGATATCCTAAGAGAATCTGGCTCTGGATCTGCTGTAGTCCAGCTTTCTGAAGTTACAATTCTCAGCGGCCAACCAGTTCTGTAAAATCATCAGCATAGCTGTGATTTTCCTGGGAACTTTAGTTCATACTCTAAGCCTCTGCTGTTCTTGTAAATAAAAAAAAGCAATACTTCAAGTTTGCTTTGAATACTCTTCCCAACACAGGGTCTCCTTTTGCTCCTAACAGCCCTGTGAGGTAGGGTAGAGCTTTGCTTTGTGTTACTTCTGAGGGTGGACAAGCTAGACACAGTAAAGGGCTTTCAGGGAATGGCCTGGAGTGTGTCAGTGGAGCCTGTGAGAGACCAGCAGGTGCTGTGGCTCTGATGTCCCACAGAGGAAGCACCCACCTCCACCTCCGGAGGTGTCCGAGACCCCTTCATTTCCCAGGCAGGTCCAGTAACAAGTGTTCTTTCCTTGCTTCAGATTTTGCTGCTCTCATTCCTGTGGGGAGCCTACTTCTCCTTACTGACCTCTTTCTCCCCTTCCTACATCTGGTTTGTCTTTCTGCGGACGATGGTAGGCTGTGGAGTGTCTGGCCATGCACAAGGGTAAGACTTGCTCCAGAGTCTTTGGGGGAGAAATGTCAGTGCCCTACATGTGGGTTGTGTGTGTGCGCGTATGTGTGTGTGTGCGCCTGCACATGAGCAAGTGCACATGCTCGAATACATGTGCACACATGCGCATGTGCAGAGAGAGAGAGAGAGAGAGAGAGAGAGAGAGAGAGAGAGAGAACCAGACATACATGCACAGTCACAGACAGACAGACACAGACATACACACACATGTACACATTCACATACAGAGAGAGTGTGGGGGCACAGATTCATATATAGACAGAGCACACACACACAGGCACACACATGCACACACACAACTATACTAAGTAGGTGAAGCACATGTTAGTCCTGTAGTTCTGTGGAGCCCAAAGGCTACACTACCAGGACCCCAAGAAGGAAACTCACGGAGGACAACCGCTACAATCGCCAGAGGATTTAATTAGTCCAATGCACTGGGACCACTTGCACACACAGAAGCAGCAGCCAAGAATGCACTCTGGCAGAAGCATACATACAGTTTGAGCAGGACAGGTGTTTTTGGTGATAAACTGGTCGGTTGGCATTGATGGGCTGTGGGGACCCTCTAACAGGGAGCTATCTGTTGTCAGATGGTTCCATATGTCTGATAACCCAAAGTTTTTCTTGGAACCATTTGTCTTCACCTTTTTTGGAAAGGGAGGGATCCTGTGGTTTTTCTTGGGACTGTGTGGTCTCACCCTTCAGGGAAGGGAGGGGGCCAGGGATAATTTTCCATGGACTTTGCAGCTCATGGTCAAGGTCTTGGTTTAGAAGGCAGGTCAAGGCATGTAGGATTTAAGCTTTTTCCTGAACACTGTTTTGTGGCACTCTTCCTATCTCTTCCTGTTGCCCCCTGTCGACCCCTCTCACCTCAAAGGGGCTAAGAGATAGCAGACTTTGGAGCAAAATACAAGCGCTTGTAACACTCAGGAGCAACCATCCATTACAAAGTGCATTGCCCTGTAGTTAAAATCTACACCAACCAGAGAAATGGCTCAGGGGTTAAGAGTACTTACCACTCTGGCAGAAGGCCCAAATTCAAGTCAGCTGCAGGGGAAATTTGATGCCTCTGGTCTCCTTGGGAACCTGCAAACCACATACACTCACACACTCACACACACACACGCACACACACACACAGAGATACACACACACACAGAGATACATACACACACACACTCACACACACACACACCACACTTAAAAATAAAATAAAAATATTTGGATTAAAAAAACAAAATCAAAACCAAAACTCATACCAGAAAGAATTTGCAAAGCAGAGGGGAAAATCCTGAAATAGGATTAATGTGGCTGTCTGTCCCTTGCCAACCTGTCTCCTACTGCTAGGTAAATGTACAGGCTCTCGGTGTTTGGGTGTGACTTGCTGTGTTAATGTTCCAGTTATGGGGCCATCTAGAAATCCACAGAACCCCTCAGGCTATTCCCTCTGGGATGCCTTGAGGCAAGTTCTCCTTCAATCACGGAGATGTCAAAGCACCTGGCACTGCCTTCACATGTCGAAAACAGAAGTGTTTTTCCCTGGGGCATTAGTTAAGTATCTGAGAGCCCAGATAGGAATAGATGCTGAGAGAGCTTAAAAATCTCCTGTAAGATGCAGTCCAATTAATACTTTCAAAGGAAAGAAGGAAGGAAGGAAGGAAGGAAGGAAGGAAGGAAGGAAGGAAGGAA